CAGATGAAACAAGCCTCTACACTTTTACTGCTGTTACCACCTCTGTGGCCAAGAACACAAACCACACTCAGCGAAATCAATGCAAGAGCCCGGGGCAAGAGACCTCCTGAGACAGACACAGACGCTCAGGAAAGGGGAGGAAAAAAAAGACGTCTGCATGTGAAGACATATGAAGACAAATGACTGTCACTGGCTGTAATCATCTGGTTAGCCTGTAAATATATAGGAGTATCTCCACACGCCTCCTCTCGGCTTGTTATGCGGCTGGCCCTACAGCAGAAATACGAATCTTAAAGAAAGAGCCACAGAGTTTCTGGAAAGGCTTGATGAGTCCTCAAGTAGGGGGAAAAATCCTTTAAGTGAAGCTTGAAAGCAAATCTTACTGATGCACTCACCTATTCCGCAAAAGCTGCTGGAAACTGCATGTACAAAAACGTTTATTGAGAGTAAGTGGGCTTGTTTTGTCGACTTGTTTTGTCATCAGTGGGAAAGGTTCCAAAGAGTTTGTTGTTATATTGTGTTTTTGTAGTGCACCAATTAACTGATTGATTGATTATTTTCCTCAGATTTCTGCGAGTGCTTATGAGACTATTAACTTTGTTGAATATTTTATAAGCATTTGCTTTGTATGACCTGTCAAAGAGCCTGCGTTCTCTCTGTGCCCAGTCTCACTCTGGGATATTACCATTACATTGATGGTGGTCGATATCCTATTCTCTCTCTCTCTCTCTCTCTCGCCCCTCCTGTTCTCTCTTTCTTTTTTGTATCAGGTATTTATTAAGTTAAACCAGTGTTTTGGCGTTGAATTGTTAACTTAATCTTTGTATCATTTTTGTATTCATTTCGTTTTGTGCCAGTGTGACGGCATTAGGAAAAGTTTTATTTCAATGTCTGAATAATCCCATAGGGGATGAGCCATTTGGGGCCAGACACAAAAATAAAAGATTAATTTATGTATAACTTTGAGCAGACAAGATGGAGGGGAGGTAAAATATCAAATATAGGAGGTTTTAAGTATAGAAAGTAAGCAGGTGTCTGTATTGGTGGGTTTGAGAAAGGCACAAGCTGTGTGTGTTTGCTCGTGTTATCAGCAGCTGCTTGGTGTTTACAGTTGTTTCAATGCTTGTTGGAGAAGGCCATGAGCTAGATTACCCACAGTGCTCGCTGGAAGCCATTTTAACGCCTAAAGGAGGCGTGCCAGTCACATTGATTGATGGTTTGACCTCAGCTGGCTTCAGGTGGTTTGTCTGTGAGCTTATCGGTAAACGCACACAGATAAAGACTTTTGCTACAGTCTGTGAACAAATAAGTCGCAAAGCTGGGGGGCAAAGACCTCAGAACTCTCTCTGTGGTTTCCCAATTCATATAAAAGGTGCAGTGAAGACAAACCTCTGGTACACCCAAGTTTTTTAATGTAACCTGTCAATTAAAAATCAACTTTTCGAAGTGAAAAATGTGTTTGCTATAAATCAGTGGCCCCATTTTATACAAATCGTGTAAATGTTGGAAGTCCTCTAGTTTCACAGGTTAGGCTACCATACATCTTTTCTGGACCCTGATCTGTTACCAAGCAACAAAACCACTCGCCTTACCCAGACAGCCTCTGTTCTTCTCCCCAAAACAAACAGTGCTAAAATCATGACCAACAAGTGTCGCAATAAGTGTCACAAAGAATTGAATTCACACGGCCAAAAACCAGATTACATCCATTAATTTCTCACCAGAATGCCAAATGGCTGGTTAACATGATTGCTTCATCCAAATGGGAATACGTACAGTATGCCAAAACAGATACCCTCAAGGAAATGGTCTAATTGGCTCTCCAAAAGAAGACAAAATCTGTGAAACTGAGTAATTTGGCTGCATTTGGTCTCACATTATGCACTAACAATTCCCAGAACCAGAACCCTTCAACCAGAATTATTTCACTCGTAAAAGCCAACAAAAAGGACTTCAAGCATAAACCAGAAAGCAGAGCATGTTCCTCAACTTTGGCACAGCATTGGTCCACTTATTGAAGCTCCATCTTCTTTGTGTTGAGTGAGCTTGCTAAATGGACGACCTAAAACAAATGTCCTGACAAAGCAGAAACAAAAAAAAAGACAGAAAAATACAAGAACACAAGATGAGTCAGCATTCTTCAGCTGTCAACATTGTGAATAGTTTCCATCTTACTAACATTGCACAAAGAAAAGAAGAAGTACTATATAGTGGATCTGTTCTGTGTGGCATATTTCTAGTATATAGAAACCTTGGAAGAGCAAGGGCGAGAGATGACTCTCAGAACAATTACATGGATACAGACCACGGAATGGACACGACCATGAGTTGGAAGAGCGATGCACATCCTCCAGAACGAGAACTATACCTGCACTATGAGCAGGATGAATGCGTCAACAGAGGACAGAGGTGGAATGATGCCTGAGAACATAGAAAATGTTGTAGACACAGAATTCAGATTGTAATGATAGAAGAAGAAAAAAAGATGGAGAAATTGCAGCTGATGCTGATCCAGGCAGCATAAAGACATGTAGAAGTGAGTAAGGGAGAGGAGATAATTAAGAAAGAATGAATAAGAAAAATTGGGTTTTACCGATTGGGTGAAGGCCGTGGTAATGGCCATGCTTGCATACTATTTCAATGAAGTGAAAAATGTATTTTGGATGTAAGCGAAGCATGATGGGAACACTGGTTTTGTGTAAACCAGCAGTAAGACAGATAAACTATAAGTTATCTCTAATATGCACTCTTCAACATTTGCTTATTCACCACAGTTCATATTATTATCTCAGCATTGAACACTGTTATTTTTGTCATATTACGCAGGCCAAACTGAGTGCTTATCTTTTTAATTGGGGCACAAGTATCCAGTGCTTGAGTGAAATAGAGGTTCATTGTCCCATTCAAGGACACAACATTAAAAAAACAAACCAAAAATACCGCTTCTAAAGTAGGTTAAGTAGATTATTAGGCCGGTTAGAGGTACGATTCCCACGTCCCTGCTATAAGCGGGGGTGTTACCAACTCGAGGCTGCTCGCAACCAGTTATCTTCCCAGATTATTTTGTAGAGTCAGTGGTCGAAACTCAGAGAGCATCCGGGCCGCCTCCATTTTTGTCAAACATTTAGTCTTGATGATGACATCATGAATGGGTCTGGTGGAAGGGACGATAATAACCACGAGAGACAAGGGGGGACAGTAATACCACTGTTAGAATCTTGCCTCCAGCTCTTGCTAAAGAACAGACAATCAATGTGGTCTGGCTCCCCTCTGCCATTTCTTCACCCAAAATCTTTTTCATGTTTTTTCCTCTCTGTGCAGAGCTTAAAAATCACAAATTTAACTAACGCCATCGTTTACGTGAAGTCAAGGGAGGTGGTGCGTTCCTCTGCCTGCGGCAATCTTAATAAAATCTGTAGTATGTGATGTGCCATCGTTTTCATAGATTGTAGAGTATGCATTGCTTGAGATATAGCAGAGAATATCTGTGAAGATACTCCTTATGTAGGCGATGCTACTCAATATTAAAAAAAAAAGAGTAGGATTTTAAAACTACTGTAATATCAAATAAGAACAACCTGCACTTCAGCTTTAATTGTATGAACTGTGAAGGTGTAAATTGGAAATTGTCCAATGTTTAATGTTGTTGTCTGGTTTATAACTTCAATAGCATTTAAATCAAGTAACAGCTGTCCACAACTGAAGCAACAACATTTCTAGAGGCATCATCAGGGCAGGAAGACTGTACCAACACAAGTGGAAGGTGAATGGAGATATCATTCACAGTGCATGTGAAGGTATCAAATACGTTTATAATCTCAATCAGATCCAATGTCCCCGAGCCAAAACTGCCATTAGGGTTTCTCCAGGTAACAAGCGTGCTTTCCAATTCCAGCAGTGGGTGCTGCAGCGGAGAGACAGAGACGGTTCAGACATTTCTCAGATCCCCGTCTCAATCGCCTTCAGCTGATGCGTCTAAGAATACACACTCAAGTCAGCAACCTGCTTCATATTTACATTCAAGGTATGTTTTTTTCTGCAGCGATTTTGTCTGTGCAATTAGTTTCATTCAAGCATTCCTTAAACTGGATGAAGTTATGCACCAAGTCCTAAGCAGTTGAAAAAAAAAATGAAATTGGAAAAGCGGAAATAACTGGCACAATTATCAAAAATGAAAAACTGTGTAATATAAGCCCTTATAACATAAATCCGGTCCATAGAGAATACAGCTTGCATATAACATAATTGCTTCCAGCTCCGGTGGTATAAGTCCTATTTGAAAAACAAACAAACAGAAATGCAGACTCAGCAAAATCAAATGAGAGAAAATAACATATTTCTGTGTTACAAGTTTGCAGACACATTTGGCATATCTGACAGCAACTGACAAACTTTTGTTTCAACCATCTGAAAACACTAAATCATCATTTCTATTGGTTCCGGCTCAAAGCACTCAATTGCAGAAATGATGTGGTCAGAGATAGCATAGTGGCTTTTTAACATTTATTGGCCGTCTTTAGCTCTTCAACTTGAAGCAGTAAATTCAACTGAAAATTAGTTTGGCCTGTTTTCTCAGCCGCAAACATTCTTTCACCTAAATTTCTCTCTAATGGCTCGGTGACAGCGGGATGAGCTGGCTGAACATCCTGCTTTGTCCACGTCCTGTCCCTGGACTTTGACAGAGACGCTTTGGACCATATATTTACCCAGGCTCTATTGATCACCAGCCTATTATACAAGCCAAACCAGGAAAGCGCGGCGTTTGCTCAACAGCTAACCTTTCCACATGTATCCGAGCAAACACGGCATTCAGCAACTGATGTCTGACACAGTCCTGATAACAAGCAAATACAGCGTGTCGTGCGCACAACCTGAATCCTGTTTGTTAATGTTTGATGAGTTGCAGAGAGGCTGATGAACTGAAGAATCGCTTGTCTAGTATAATTTTCTTTCCTCAAAGTTTGTCCTTACACAGACAAGAAAAAGGAAAATCCACCAACCTGATGATGTCAGAGGGTCCCGGTCTATGAGAAAGGCAGATCCTGGAGCCGACAGCCAATCCAAGGAGGAAACCAGGAGAAGGAGCAGGAGATTTGGAGAGCACGACGAGACAGCCATGATGCTGCAGAGAGACAGAGGGGGAAAATGAGAGCGAGACAGTAGCACAGTGATTATAATTATCTGTTGGACTCCATGACATGCCCATGAAAAAGAAAAAAAAAAAAACTCCTTCCCTCTCTACACTCAGGCTCCCTCGCTCTGTCTCTCTCTTTCCTTCTCCCTGACCCCTGAGCACAAATTCTGGGTGCCATTTATTTTCAGCTGGTGTGTGTGAAACCTAACACTGAACAGGGCATAATTAATTATCATGCCAGGTTGCTGCTGCTGCTGCAGCGTTTGGGAGTTGAAGTCGGTTATTCTGTTCATTTGTTTTGTTAGTTTCATCGCTTTGAAACTGATCACAAAATATTTGATAACAATAACACAATTCCCCAAACCTAATCATCATGACAGTTGTCCAAAAGTTAAAACCTTAATTATGTGAAATTGTCTTTTATTTTATCCATACATACATCTACTGAAGGTTGAAAAATGACAGAATGAGCAGTATTTTAAAAAATTGCTTTTTCACACATCCACTCACCACGGGAGATTTTCGCAGTTGGTAAGGAGGATCTCAGACACGATATGATGTAAAAAGGACGCAGTGGAAGTCACAGTGTAGTAAACTAACATATCCAATATGGTGGATGCGGTTTTGGCCTTTTTTGCAATGCTACATGATGGATATTTTCTCCGTTTTTTTGCACACTGGTCACAGGGTATAAACGTCAACCCCCACTGCTAACTCGCTCTGGAAGAATTTTCCTGAACGATACTTGTTGAATTTACAAAGTAGGGGTGACAAATGTGGTCATTTGTGTTAGGCATGCAGCTCACCCTGAAAATTGAGTGATATTTTCAGAATGTCAGGACATTTTCAGAGGTTTTGTGCAAGTGTGAAAAAAGGGCTTAGCTGTTGTTTGTTGCTGTGCAGGTATTGAACAAATTGGAGTAACAGCTGCCCAACTTTCTACCAGCTCCATGGAGAAACAAGGTATATAAGAGTGAACCAAAACTTAAAGTTATTGGCTTTAATACCAACCACAAAAAGGCACCACAGAGCCGAGGAAATCTGCAGCATTAAGTGAAAGCTGTGCGAGTAGGCTTTATAAATCGAGCATTACATGCCGTGCTACAATACAGGAAAGATTTAATGGTACAGAAATGAAAGTGACTGGGTCTCCTCTTCATCCATCGACAACTAAAATTAGAATTCTTGCAGAAATGTAAGATCTGTTATGACGAACAAACAGTGACAACGTCTTCCTGGTCAATGAGCTGGTGTTTGAGGACAAGTTCTACCAGTCAAGTCTGACCACTAAATATAGGCCAAACTCCCCGTCCGCACCCTCGGCTATTTACAGCTGCGTCTCCACAAGTTTGCTGGGCAGCCAACAACTTAGACGTGGAGGCTGTGCTTCTGAGGGCAATGCTCTCAGTACTTTTCCCAGCTTCTTCTGCATTCTGAGGACACCTTAAAGACATATGTATAACTACAGAGAGCTACACAGCAACCCCCCCCCCCAAAAATATTTAGCAGGAGAAACATTTTGGGCTCAGTTACTTGACGTGTAGCGAACTGTAAGAGAACTGTTTTACACCATGTTTTACTCTCATTTATAGAGTGACAACGACCGAGAAAATATGCGTCGACATCAAACACATTTTCATGACTCAAACACTTGGGCATTAAAAAAACTAGTGTCAAGATTATGTTTGAAGGAACTCCACCGGTGTCATGATATACAATAGCATGAATCAAACATGTGCACCTACTTAAGACGGAAAAAAAAACACACATTCACTCACTCTGGATTACAGTGTGCATTTAAAGTGCAAGAACAATACAAAGAAAAACACAATACACCTAAGACTGGCTGTGGCTCACATGTAGGGAAGGAAATTGTATGAAATCACTCATTTGGTGTCAGTCTCACCACTTAAAGGGCAATATGTCTAGACTTCTTTTCACCGCTGTTTGGCGTATCCCGCTTGTCTTCCTCTTCTCTGGCCAATAAACTGAAGTTCACATTTCCCTCATTCATGTCTACAGCACCAAATGTCTTTAAAAGAAAATATTTATACGTGGCACTAGTGATCTAAATATTTATTTCACACAAGATAAGACAACAATGTTCTGCCATGTTGATATTTTGTCCCACCTCTTCTCACAGGTAGAGCGGGTCGTTTATCAATTGAAAGGAAGGTTGTTCAATCCCTGGCTCAATCCCCAGCTTCTTTAGTCTACACATAAGAATATCCTTAGTCTCAATACAGGTGGCAACCTCTGGTGTTGTAAAATGAAGCCAATGCGGAAGTGCAAAACCTGCAAGCTAGCTTACTAGGTTGACCAAAAGTCAGTTTAAAACAGCATTTACAGTATGGCAACAGCCATCGATTGGATTCAAAAGTCCGCTTCAGAAACCAATGGGTGACGTCACTGGGACTACGTCCATGTTTAGTCCTAAGGAATAGCTTCCTGTGTGTAAATGTATTTAATGATGGTTTGCCTTGCTTGGCACTATCAACAGAGTATGAAGTGTCACTACCATATTACCAGAAATTTAAGCCCCTGTTCTGCCTAACGTGCAATGTTTAACACAAGGAGGCCGAAAGGATGGGGTTAAGATGTTCCACCCCTGAGCCCCCATTGGAGGTATAGCAGAGGTGTAATGGGGGGAGATGGCAGTGTGAAAAGTGAGAGCTGGACGGATCAGCCCTGTATGTGTGAGCATGCCCGACCATGTGTGTACGGGAAGATCCCGCTGTGTGCATACACGTAGTGCCTCTCGTGTTTGTGCAACCCCATAATACAATGTGAAATCCCACACTGGGACAACCAATATTACGTCGTTGTGGTTGGAACATGCAAGTACAAAGGCGTTAAAACGGTGGTACTTTGTCATGGTGCTGTTGCAGAATTGCAATATCTAAAGGGCTATTGTGTGGTTCAGTGGTTCCAGAAAACTGGTTTATGAAATCTAACTGAGAAAAGTGTAGTTTTAAGAACTGCATGACTCACATTGAAACAATTTACCCTGTTGTATTGGACGTTTTAATGGTTTAAATGTTAAGTCATAAGAAGAATGTGTGTGTGTGTGTGTGTGTGTATGTGGGGGGCTGCGTGTATGTGTGGATGAATTCCATGTGTTAGAGGCCGGACGAGACCAAGTTATACAATGCAAGAATTTATGGAAGAGAGCTGTCAAGAAGCTGGCTCATCTGGCCGGACTAAAACGCTCCATTTATAACCAATTAGTGCTCATCTTCTGCATCTGTCATCCTGTCCAAATCTCTCTTCAGATCTTCCCTCTCTTAGTCTGTCTCGATCGCCCTTCACATTTGATCATCTGTCATTTTAACATCATAATTAAATGCCCATTATTCTGGTGAATTTAACAACCCACTGATGAACACTTACAAAACACTTTTCTTACTGTGACTGTTTCAATTGTTTCCTTTTCTATATTTTCTGCATTTTTTTTTTTTTCTTTCAAGTCTCCCATGTTTGATCAGGTGAGGAACAAAAGAAAAGGAGGCCAAATCGCCCCTCAACTCCGGTTGAAGGCCTCATGGTAACCCCAATATCAGTCTTTCCTTTTCATGTGAAAGCTTCATATCAATCTCCTGCACGTTTCTCCCCCATTCTTTTCCTTTTTTTCGGCCAATTACAAGCTCTTAAGACTCACAGGAAGTCAGTTTAAGCCAATCAGAAAAGAGGGAGGCTCAGTGCAGGTCTCCTGGGGTCCCTCTGTAAACATATAAGGCCTCTGTGGTCAACCTTCCTCCCACTACCTCTGCCCTAACACACACACACACACACACACACACACACACACACACACACACACACACACACACACACACACACACACACACACACACACACACACACACACACACACACACACACACACACACACACACACACACACACACACACACACACACACACACACACAATCTTGACTTTGCACCCCACTGCCAGCTCCATGCCTCTCCCATGTTTTCTTTAATCTCTATTAATCATCTGTGTTTTTTCAAGAGGAGATGACAAGAGAGAGGAGGAGGAGGAGGTAAGGAGCAGAAGGGGTGATTGTGTGAGAGGGAGGCCAAAAAAAAAAAAAGGTTAGGGGGTGAGAGGGAACATTATATCTGCTCTTCTATAGCTGCAGAGGAAAAGCATGCTCAAACACAGAGCTGTGTGGCAAGCCAAAGTTTAGTTTGAGGCTTCTTAAAAGAGACAGAAAGACTGCAGAGGATGCACTTTCTCTCGTTCTCTTTTTAAACATTTACTTTTTTCTGTGCACAGCTGTCTGACACTATTTGTTTTATAGTCTTAATTTATCTATTGACCTTGTTGATATTCATACTGTTTGTATCTGGGGCGACTGAGGTAAAGGAATGTTTTTATGAGAAAGGGGGTCCGGTCTTTTACAAACAAGACCTCACATAACCCTCAGGGAAAAGAATATGGAGAGCATGTAAGATTTTAACCAAACTGAAGGTATGAGAAAATGACAACCAAACAGGTGTTGTCTTGTGTTACGCAATTTTTGGAAGCTCTTCCAATGATTGTATTTTTTGGATTCAGATTTCTAATCCTTCAGCGTGCGTAATGGATGCTTTAGGAGCTTAGATGAGTACAGTGTAATTCATCTGGGCCCCACAACATGGCCTTTTGCCCTCCCAAAGAATTACTCATGGAATTTACATAATTACGTGCACTTGTTTTATTTCAGCAGACTATTAACATGAATGCATTTCGCTGTCCTCAGCATGGGCTAAACCGTTTTTTATACAGAGAGCGAAGTGCAGACAGGTTGATTGACTGTAAGTCAATATGTTACGTGCCAGAAAAAAATTCTAAAAACGTCCACCCAAAAGGGAAATAACCAGGTGAATAAATATCAACGATTTTTTCAAAACAAACATCTGGTATTGAAAAAGACTTGAAACTACCGAGTGAGACCAAGAAGTCCCTAAAAAAGAAATACAGAGGATGTAAATAAACAGAGC